CACCGACTTCTCTTTTTACCCAAAAAAGCAGCCAAGAGTACGAAAAGGCAGAACCTTTCCAGCTAAATTTGGACCACAACCGTAAGAGAGAGAGGGTGAATGAAAATGGAAGAGAGAGAGAGACAACTGGGGGAATATTCTCTGAATTTCAGATATGAGTACATGAAGAAAATGAACAATGGAGTTAGGCGGGAAATAAATGATGAGGAAGATAGGTAGTTAGGGGAGAAATTAAATTAGGGGTAGATGCGTCAATTCAAGTGGGATTTTAGGAGGGAAATTGTAAGTGGTGGGCCCCACAGTCGGAGATTCTCGCCGGAATAGTGCTCAAGGTAGTGCTACTCAAACTTTTTTAGTTTTTGTGGTAATTGTTTCAAAAAAAAAAATTTAAAAGGTAGTTGTTTCCAAAACGCGTCATTTAATAGGTAGTTGTTCGCAAAATTTCCTACCAAGAATGTTGTACTCTTTTTCCTTCATCTTCGATAATGGACATCCAAGGGGGAGTGTTATGAAATAATTGTGGATATCCATTATCCTCCTTTGTATCATTCCGGAACAATCTATATCTAGGGTTTATATTCTTATCCAATCATACCCTAATATATTGTATGTATATATACACCTTATCATATGGAATAAAGATACACAGATTAATTCTCTCTTCATATCTCATCTTTTCCCTTATTTCACAACATTTAATGTTTTCTCACTCTTACTATCCTAATCTCACTCTTATTTTTTCTCTCCATTGATTTTCTTAAGTTTGTACTTCCCATAATTAACCTAATGAATATAATTGGTTCTTAATTTTCTAATAGAAGCATGTTCTTAATTTTCTTTATAGGATTGATGACATGACATCATTAATCTATCTTTGTTTTACTCAAAGACATCATTTAATGTTTTGTATTTCCAATTGAAATATTTCATTATTATTATTTGTCTTATTCTTTCCTCCTTAATTCTCGTGTAATTTTACAAACATGAACGAAATTTAGGGACGAAATGAGTAATGTAAATATAAATATGATAATATTATTGTTATTGTCTCACTGATGTAGGTATGATAGATTGATAAGTCATAGACAACTTGATTTTAATTTAGCTTAAAGAAAAAAATGACATAAAAAAATGATCTAATGAGAAAATTAATACTCCCTTCAGTGTCAATAACACATTACGAAAATGGTACATAAATGGCCTAATAATGACCCTATAATTAGGTAATTAATACCTTGTAAAAAAAAAAGGTAATTAATACAAGTAGCTCAATAGTTTTTCTAGTTTAAAAATGAGCTTATTTGAATATATAATTTGGTCAACCCCACCAAAATTCGGCCAAATTAAATCTGAAAAAATCTATATTGACCAAATGATTTTCTAGTGTCGTCTTTGATTTTCCGAGTTTCATATGTATTTTAGTTTTATAGGTATAAAATATTGATAACATATTTAATTTATTTTTAAGGATATAAAATATTTATTCAATATTACTTATCATAAAATTTCATACAATTACTATGTATTTAATAGAATTTATCATCTCGTCAACAAAAAAAAAAAAGAATTAATCATGTATTCGAGTAGCATTCATAGAAATGTTAGTTTCTAATCCACGAATTGATCACATGTACAAAATGGGACCACTAATAGATTTCATTCAAGAATTCGTTAAGAGGTGGTGAAATTCAATTTTTGATTTTTTATTTTGTGGTGTTACAATAAAACATTAAAACATAAAGATTTTGTGGTGTTATAATCAATATTTTAAACATTTTTATGATGTTATAAGTCAAAAAAACTAGAGTTGATCAATACGCGGGTTGGGCCGAGGTGAAAAAAAAATCTCCCCATTTATCGGTTCGGGCCGGTCATGACTTCGGGCCGAAAAATGTGCGCCCGGGCCCAAACTAGGTGGGCCATGCGGGCTTTTTAGGCCAATTTCGGACCGGAAAAAAATCATCTAAAATTGCATAAAATCGATTTCACAAGCCCGCCCGAACTTTTAAAAAAATTGGCAAAGCCCGCTCAAAATCGAGTCGGGTCGGGCCGGTCTCAAATTGATTATGTCTAAAAAATCATTATTATTATTATTATTATTATTATTATTATTATTATTATTATTATAAATTATTAACAAAAATCTGCAAAGTCAATTGATTTACTCCGTATAAGAAATTAGTGGAAAGTCGAGATACAATTTGGGCCTCACACCTCTAGTTATAGCGAACCTGATTTTGCTGAAAATGTGAGCAGCTGCACAAGCACTTATATCCTTGGTCCTTGCGAATGCATGAACTCAAAAAAATAAATGTATGATTACAATAAAAAAAAAAAGTCTTTTGGAAAATAATTTATTTGAAGGGTTCGATTTTGAGATTTTGAGGTTAAGTACAACCAATAACAACAAATTGTTTGCTAATTTGCCTCAAAAAAAAAAAAAAAAAAAAAAAAAAAAAAAAAAAAAAAAAAAAGAAAAGAAAAGAGTTTGCTAATTAAAAAAATGTCTTTTTTTTAATCCTTTTTTTAACGATGAAAACTGTTGTAATATGGTGTCAAGCACGTGAAAGTTATTAAAGTCCACCTGTAACTCTGCAACACAAGTACACAACTGATTACTGCAAGTCTGCAACCTAACTTTAAAAAAAAACTTACAAAAAAAAAAGTTAAACCCAAATTGAGATCTCTGTTTTAAAAAATAAATAAATTAGCATGAGACAAAATATGATCAACTTGTTTTCAAAAAAATAAAAATAAATAAAATTATGATCAACAAAATCCCTGATCGAGTAGTGAAACATGTCTACATGATCACGTGATAATGCTGATGTTGATCAATGTTTTTCTAATCAATTACTTTACTATGGTCAAAATTGAACAGTACAGTAGCTAATTAAATCCCTAATTTGCTTTGTGAAATGTGAATATAGGACAAATCATACATATGAAAGTCGCAATCAAAACTTAAAAAGGCGGTCGGATCGATGTATTTTTAAGGGAGGATTAGTTTAATATTTCTACAATTAAGTACTTGGTAAGAATCTAGAAAAATTCAGTGTGTTGAATACTTCATTTGCATATCTTAGAATATTTCATTGACTATTGCTTGATAAGATTATGTAAGGTTTTATAATATATTGCTAATCATATTCATGTAATTATTAGTGTATACTATTACATATTCAATTATTCATAGTGTTGAATTGTTGATCTACCCTTTTTTTCCTTCAACTTCATAATTTGACTTCAACTTACCATATACTTATGTATATACTTATAATACTGTATACTTTAAATATTTAACCACAAATATTATTTCATCTACTCCGTACACTACCAAGCTAAGCTTGGTCTAGTGGGAAAAATTATACCTTCCAATCTTAAAACTGGAAAATCAAACACCACTAGAGGCACTTTGAGGGTGGAGATCTCTACCCTTTCCTCTTCACTCTCAAAGTCTCTGACCCACTAATATCAAATTAAAAAAGCCGTGATGGTTAAGATTTGATCAGGATCCTTCTTCTTACCTTAAACTTAAAAAAAAAATATATCTACTCTGTACATTGATACTCTTCATCATTAGATTGTGGACTCAACTTTGAATTTGGAACCTTCTATTTACCATATTAACCAGAGAAATTATGGTGGGCTTCTAAATTAAAGTACCATATGTGTCACCAAAGTAATGATTGGAAGTTTCTATTAGCTAATGAAAATTTTATATTTTGTATATTCCTTTTGTTCAGAATTATATATCCTATTCCGTAATCCTAAGTTCCCAACCCTTATTTATAACAATGGTGTTGTAACTAATGTATTTGCATAATTTAATGACAGAACTACATAGTACATTTGTACCATTAATACTTTCTACACATAATTTATTTTAATAAGAATACAATGGTTAAAAAAAAAACCCTTAGAAAACAATTTCTCAACAGCAAATATACGGAGTACCAAGTATGAAATTTTTTAGTTTACATTTTGTTTAGATCAATTAACAGGATTAACATTTTCAAGTGGAGAAAGAATCCACACGTCTTTTTGAATTTTATTCTATTTTTTTTTTGACATTTAAATCAAGAGTTTAAGTGTTTTCATTGACATTTTTATAAGGACTCTTGAAACTTCTGTCTCCAAACTTTGGATTATATAAGTGGATCATAATAATCTTACTTTTTTGTTCCTTCCTCTTCTTTTTCGATAAATGTTAGTTTGGATCATATAAATCCTTCGCTATTTTGTATGAATGGAATTTTTGGTTAAATATCGACTCTTTAAAATTTCAATTGATACATCAAACTCTTTGCTATATATACCTATTTCACTAGGCTACTAATGAAATTTCAATTGGTAGTGTTGCTTTTTTTCTTTCCTTATTGGTATTATGAAAATCATTTTGATGATTCGGTCTACAATAATTTATTTATTTTTATTTTTTGTTTTTAACAAGGGTTTACCACTAGAGTGGTTATTCAAGATGATTTCAAGTCATTAAATTTTTAGAATATTATTCTAATGTTCTAGTGTCCTACGCACTTGCTTGGTGCATGCCCTTCTTGAGCACAATTCATAAAGTTGCTACATATTTATACAGAATTTCTGTTGTTGCATTATTTATAGCAAAACTAATCACGCAATGGATTATGTTGCAATTATAGGTCAACATGATACACATCAAGACAAAAACTCCTTGGGTGATCAAGGTGCTTATAAAATGACGTCAAAAATTGCTCACCCTCTCCATTCCTCTCATAAGCTAATCTAATCGTACAATAAATTATGTTGCACCTTTAGGCAATATACCTCAAGATATCAATTTATTCATTTATATAAATCTAGTAAATTCTCTTTCATTAAAGGATTGTCACAACCTTCCTATTTAGCTTTCCTTTCCAAAATCAAGCATTTAAGCTTTATACATAACGTGGAATTATAATCGATCATCATTCTATAAGTTCCTTTCTAGTAAGCTCTTTTCTCCACTTGCCAATACCCACCTTCTTTTTTATTTATTTTATTTATTTTTTAAATTCTGACTTTGTGTCATATCATCTGTCTTGGTTTCCAACTTAAAATCAGCATATAATTCTCTTTCTAGCTTCTTTCACCATCCAACCTAACTTTTATGCATTTTGTGGTTTCTAAATCTCTTATAATGGAACATTTATTTAACCGACCTTAATAAAAAAGACAAATATTACAAACCAAAAAAACTATATAAAAAAATGACCAAATCTTAATACAAAAAGCCAATTTTATAACAAGAAACAAATAATAATGAAGATTTGTAATTGCTTTTACAAATACAATGATATTGACAGAAATAATAATTTAATTATATAACACGAGCATAACACCTATACGTTTACTATTGTTCTTCTTCACGTCCATTATTCCAAGGTATGTATATTCTCCCCTTTATGATTTTAATTTGAAGTCTTTTCTTTCATCACAATTTCAAACGGAAATTTCTTACTTTTTTAAATTAATCATATTTCAAAACGATTTTGCTGTTTGAGTTATTATAGAATTTATGTATATGGGTTTTGCAAATTCTTGTACAAGACCGTCTAACTAAATCACAAGGTATTATTTTATGTATACATATTTGTTATAATTCATAACAAATTTGTTGGTTTTGAATTGAATATTGAGTTAACAACCTTATTGGCTCAAGTTTATTTGTTTATATTGAAATATTGTCTAAAAATGATCATAAAAAATTGGCTTTTTATTGTTGTTGTTATTGGGTTTTATTTATTTATTTTTTTCAAAGAGGGAATTTGATGCTTTGACTTAATTATTGAGTTCTATTTTCTGGGTTCTATTAAATTTTTGGTAATAATTCACTTTTTATATTTCATGTGATTTAGGTTGTAATATTTGAGATGGAGGATGATGATGAAGATGGCAAAGATCTCTGTTTTTGCTCTCTGTTTTAATTAGGTGGTGTAAAAAAAAAACTATAAATTAGGAAAAAAAATTTACAATCAATTTAATTAAAAATGATGATGATGATAAAAGATAGACAAGATATAAAGCCAATATTGGTGAAATTTGGTGTGGCATTAGCCTTATCGTTTGCTGGTTTCCTCTATTCTCGAATTCGAATTAAAAGGATCAATCCATCTGATCCCCCTCCTCCTCCAGTTTCAGGTTTGTAATGATCATATTTAGGAAATTCAATGATTTTGATTAGTTTAATTTAATTGGGTTTTTTCATAAATTTGATTAACTTATGTTTTCTGTAATTTTTTTAGCAGATTCTGATAAGAAAGCTGATTCTGAGGGGAGAATCAGGGTTAAGGATTATAATCAACCTGAGATGGATTCAGTTAATGCAGATGTAAGTTTGTTCGTTTTGTCTCGAAAATTAATTGGATTTCTGTATACATTTGATCAGTTGCTTAATTGGTAATTAATGATTATTAATTTTAAGTGATGTGAATAATGTTAATTGGTCAAATGTTAATGAATTCCTGTAATTATATGTGGATAATGCTAATGCAAGCTGGCAATTCAAGCTTAATTTATATTCTTATTTCGGATCCTCGAATTTATTATTGTTTGAATTAGTATTATCTTGATTAGTAGCTAAGTCTAGATGCTTGTAAACAAGAAAAAAATTATGTTGCAAAAGACTTGGATTTTCTCTAATTCTGATCATAAATCAAATTATGCTAATAAGAACATAATTACACCGATTTCCAACCAAAACAAGACTGTTTCACACCGCTGTTACAATTATTCGATTCTTATAAACTTAATCTATTGATCATGAGTAGCTTAATCTTGAATTCTAGATAATGATATAGATTACAAAATCATTTACATATGAATTAACTTAACAAGTTGACATTTTCTTTATGTATATTTTTGGTAATGCAATTCATATGATGACCCTTTCTATTGCTTTGGACTTTGTAAGCTAAATTATACACAATTGTTATTGACACCTTAACATGATCCTTGTAACATAGAGCTAAAGATTATTGTGAACGATTTTTGTTAATTCCTTAGTCCTGCTAACATAGAGCAGAACTTTGACTTTTCTGATGAAAAATTCTTGCATTTTGTTCCTTTAATCAGGACAAGCCATGCATTCGTGTCCGTGTTGATAATTCAGCCATACATGCCTCGCCTAATGGTAGATATAGTGCTGATCGAGATGCATTCTTGCTGCCCGAATTTGATCAGGTAGTCAAGGAATTTGATGCTGTAAACTCATCCAAGACTGATGGGGAGAGTTTTACAGTAAAAAAAGACTTACCTAAATCACTTAGAAGAGAAGAAAGGGATGACTATGAACAAGAGATAATGAACCTTCAGAAAAGGATAAAGTTCCTTGTCGAAAGAGAAAGGAAGCTTGAGATTCAGTTGCTTGAGTATTACGGTCTTAAGGAGCAGGAAACGGTGATGAGGGAGCTCCAAAATCGATTGAAGATCAATAATATAGAAACGAAGCTTTTCTTGATGAAGATTGAGAATTTGCAGGCAGAAAACAAGAGGTTAAAGGAACAGGTTGCTGATTACTCTAAGGTTGTGTCCGAGTTGGAAGCTGCAAGGGCGAAAATCAAACTTCTAAAGCGGAAGATTAGGTCTGAGGCTGAGCAAAATAGGGAACAGATCTTAGACCTTACACAAAGAGTTGTGAATTTCCAAGAGCATGAACATGAGCATGAGGTTAGCACTAGTATTTCTGATGATCAGTCTGAGGTGCAACGACTTACTGAGTTGGAGGCTGAAGCTGAGGAATTAAGAAAGTGTAACGAGAATTTGCAGCAAGAGAATGCTGATTTAGCTCAAAGATTGGAATCCACCCAAATTCTCGCTACCTCCTTTTTTGAAGATCCTGATGTAAGTTTCTCTGCATTCCATATTCTTGACAAGATTTTTCGATTTCTTTTACAAGTATTTTTGTGGCATTTTAGGCTTTTTAGGCATATTGGTGCATGGTGCATACATATACATATTCAGAAATTGTGGTTTTTGTTATTGTTATTGTACCAAAGTGGTTTAGTATTTGACTTCTCAAGCTCTTAAACTTACAGAAAGAGGAGCTACACAAACAAATGATTCGATTAAGGGAAGAAAACGAGAAGTTGATAAATGAAGTTGAGAGGCTTCAAGTAGATAGGTGTGGTGAAGTGGAGGAACTAGTCTACCTCCGATGGATAAATGCCTGTTTGCGTTACGAATTGAGGAATTACCAGCCCCCTCCTGGTAAAACAGTTGCCAGGGACTTGAGTATGTGCTTAAGTCCTACTTCAGAGAAGAAAGCAAAGCAACTTATACTCGAATATGCTAATACTGAAGACGGAGCAAACAAAGAGCCACCTAGCCTCACAGACTTTGATTTTGATCAATGGCCTTCATCACAGCCTTCTTATCTCACAGACAGCACTGATCACGACGAATCCCCTGGTCCTAACTCTGTTCACAAACCCCACAACAAGAAAATCAAGTTCTTTTCTAACCTACGAAAGTTAGTTAGAGGAATCTCTAGTCATCACCACCATCATAGTTATAATCATAATCAAGGCAACCAAGTTTCTCCGATGTCTAGATCTTTTTCGGTTGATGACATTGGGATGAAGTACTATGCAGCAGGACATAGTGGTTCAAGAAGCAACCCCCAGAGTCCAAGATTAGCATCATCTTCTCAAAACTCAAACAACTCTTCAATGGAATATCAACCACTCACAAGCTTGGCCGAAGAAGAAGAGAATGCTAATCGAGTAAGATCAAAGTCACTAAGTGGAGTTAGCCATGTCCTCGGAAGGGAAAGACCTGGGGGTTTTTTGTCCTTAGATTATACACCGGTACAAGAGTCAGATTACTGGCAAAAGTCAGATTTGACAAAGTATGCTGAAGTCTTCAGGGAGTCTAGATGGTTGCAGAAACACAAAAAATCTGCATCATATAGTACTGGATGATTGAGGTAACATATAATGTTGACTCAGGACTTAGGCCTTCCAGTGTACATATGATATACCGGGAATTCATCACAATATCCTCAGCATTTTATATATGAGGATTTAACTAATTTTGCCTCAAATAAGAATGACATGCTTGGATAATATACAAATGGTTTGCACATACGTAAAGGTATGACTAATATATGTTTGCTGATGATATGTATGGACTTATGTTGCCAAACGAGTGATTGAATCGAGTCCATTGTGTTTTATTACGTATTTTGGTTTGCACTGCGACAATCCTGTGAACATTAGCTGAGGTATTTCTGCATAACTTAAGTCAATATAACGAAGTAACAGCCCTGTTTCAAATCTTCTGCGTTTATTTGAGCATTAAAATATATTGTAATCAAGCTAAAAACTGCTTAATCTCATTCGCTCATGACTTTTAGCAGTGAAATAATATACTTGCATTCAGCTCAATTTCAATTTCTTACAGTAGTTTGATTAAAATACACAATACTACTTTGTTAGTATTGTATATGATGAACAAGTTTCATGAATAATTCGAACATTTATATTGAAATGGTAACACACAAGTTTCATAAACTCAATAGTTGCAACAGATGACTTTGATATGTAGTATCATATACTTGATTACATAATGATTTTTTTTTGTAACAATAGAAGTCTTAGATTTTGAGAGCAAACACATTGATATGAGAAAAGCAATGAGATAAATTTTAAAGCTAGTTCAAGAAGACAGTTGTATTATGTAGTATACAAGCTTTGTAGAAAAGTAGTTCCTCGAACACCATCTAACTGATGAGTTCAATGCCTTGAACTATGAGGGCATCGGCCAGAACCTGATTAGCAGCCTCAGAAGGATGCACACTGTCCCAGAACACGTATTGGGTGGCATTGCTGCATGTTCCGATAGATTTAGGATTACATAGAAGTGATGTCGTCTCTATTGTTCCTGTACCACAGCATCCCTTCCTAGCCTCAGCAAATCCTAAAGAGAAAAAAACTCAGTCAGTAAAATCATTGACTACATTACACAATGTTGTTTGTAGAAGATGTATGATTACCAGATTTTGAGGGAGATTGGACTAAATCGAAGAGGGGCTTGTAAATGTCGAAAATAACAAGTTTAAGGCCAGGGAGCTGTTTCTTCAGCTTAGAAGCAGCTGCATTGAGCTTATTATTGAATCCCTGGGCGTCGGAGTTAAGGCGTGAAACACAACCATTCTGGTGAAATCCAAAGAGTGTGATGGTAGCTGGTATGCATCCTAATGGGGGAAGTGAAGTTGCTCCAATCTTTCTTGCTCCTAATCCATAAAGCTCCTGTAGACCAACACTAAACATTTTAAGTCCCTTATTCGGCAATCTAATAATATATTACCCGTTGGCCTAGAATTAATTGTCACATAATCACATTATACCATAAGTAACACGATATGATATCACAAGTAGTAACATTTAAGTGAGAACATTTTAAAATATAGTCTAGATATTATTTCAATATACAAGTATATTATACTTCATCAATTTTTTTAGTTGATATCGTTTGACTTTTATATTATTCACATAATATGCTTTGACTCACAATAACATATTCATGTTGACATTGTTTAAATCGTTTAAATGTATATTATATTAATAACCATTTTTTATAATTTTACAATGTTGATAATTAGAGATATTAATCGTTAAAAATATGCGTTGATAAACGTGATAATCGAAAGGTGTCAACTAAAAAAACAGAGGAAGTATTATGTAAAAATATACTACGTCCTATGAGTATTTTCAACATTTATGGGATCATAATATCTATGTCCTATGAGTAGAATGAAAGAGTACGTTTGGTCCACAAGGACCACAACTCATAAGGAAGACACTTGGGCTTTTGGGCAAGTAATATTAATGCACATAACGGCCCATAATGTGTGGCTACAAATTGTGAATTTATGACCAAAACTAAAATTCAACCCAATTGGGTTTTTTCTGTGCACGATGTCCTTCCCAACATATTTTTCAAACAATTAAGAGTTGAAAAAATGACCTACCCCAATAAATGACCTAAAAATCTAAATTAATTAAGTTTTAAATACAACTTTTACTCATTAATTAAAATTAAAACAATTACAAAACACCGGTTTAATATTTTCGCATCATAAAAATTTTCATGCTTGTGAAGAAATCGGGTTAAAGTTTTGACAAGTCTACTTAGAAATTAAATAAAACTAAAATACGGAGTATTAAAAACAAAGGGGTCGGGTTGAGGTTTGATTATTACCTGAACGAAGTTGGAGAAAATTCCAACAAGGTAAGAAGAGTACTGGTCAGGGGTATATAATTTGTTGATGAAGGGGTTGACATAGTAATTCTGAACAAAGTCACTACTCCCAAATCCAGCTATGTACAGAGCATCCTTTAAGATTGACTTAGCTTTACTGTCACCTGCCACCTTTATTAGCTTCCCTTGGTACTCCTTGTAGTACTCTAGTTGTTGTGACAATGGAATTGCGTGCTGTACTCCAAATTAAATTCATTAGTAATTACGATGAAAAATTAAATACCATAATTAATGTCGTCTTAAAATATACAAGTATATAACTGTAGATTTTATGACTAATTATAGCTATAGTTGTCAATTTATTGTCATTTTTAATTTGGTTAGTAATAGTGTATTGTATGTTGTCTCTACACACAATACCATTAGAAATGTGACACATCATAAAAAGGGGAAAATATATTAAAATTCAAATATAAATTGAATATAATGGAACTTTTTTTTTTTTTTTTGAAGAAAGAATATAATGGAACTTGGACCCATTATTCTAGTCAACAAAAACATGACAAATTAGAGTTGTATGTAGGGATCACATACAACAATTGTAGGGATCACATACAACAATTGTATGTATAGCCTTACTGATAACGTTAAGGTTAAAACTGAAACTTGTAGCACTCACTCGTGGTTAAATGTAAATATAGCCTTTATGATGACGTTAAGGTTAAAACTGAAACTTGTAGCACTCACGTACAGTGGTTAAATGTAAATCGATGATTGTTACACAATTATGGTTTAACCTTATTAGGTTACACTATTTAGTTTGATTTTAACACTTCGTTTTTTTTTTTCTTTAAAATAGATGTGCAAGGATGAGTTAAATTGTATTTATGCTATAAGTTATGGCTGTAACCTTTTTTTTTAATGAAATTAATTAAAAAAAAAAAAGAATGTAAAGTAAAGGTAGAGTTGACTTTACACTAAGAGCAGCAGTTTTCTCATCATAGCCTGATCCAGCAGATGCAAAATTGGCACCAATAAGAAGGTTCTTTCCTGATGCTTGTGGGCTTAAATATGCTGGTGCATATGTTGTGAAACCCAGAGTTTCAGCTACAAGATTAACGTGTTCAAACTTATACATCAAATTGCCAATTAAAAGTAATAAAACAAAATGAGTAAGATTAAGTTGATACAATTAGTCAATTACTACATATATTAAACATGACTTATACTTAAACTTTGACTTCAAGGAGACTAATTTGCCTATACAACCCCAACCTTTTTATCTCGGACCCCTCTTTAATTTTTAAGTCATAAGATACAGACGTTGCACCTAAAAATTGGTAGCTATAGCTACGTAAAGACCGGTGATACCATATCAACAAATTTTGATTCTTAACAACCAAAACCTGCCTAGGGTTGTTACAAGTTATGCAATGGATACACCCAACATAAACATGATATGTGTACAAAAAAAAAAAAAAAAAAAAAAAAAAAAAAAAAAAAAGGAATGAAAAGCAAACTTAATGACAAGGGAGTTAGGAAGTACCAGTAATATCAGTGGCTAATTTTCCATTACAAAACCTTCCAGTAGGTTTGTGATTAGCAAAATCCCTGCCATAAGGAGGATAATCAGCCTTGAAAATAGTAGCAACATAATCATTGTTTCCTACATCAACTGTTGAATCACCAAATGTGATAATTGCTGGAACTAAACTTGTATCTTGAGCATTTACAAATAATGCACATCCCAAAAATATTAGACTAAAAACTACACCTTCAAATTTTATGCCCATTTTTTTTTTATCACTATAAACTATAAAGTGATATATTTTTTATTTATTTTTGGCTTCTTAGAAAGGGTTCAAGGCTATCTAGTGTAGTTTACATTTATTATAAGGGGGGTATATATGGTGAGAGTGTGCATTGAATGGTTGCATTAAGGAGACACTTTAGTGGTTGAATGTACATTCAAAGCTTTGGTTTAATTTTCTTGATGATTTGTATACTCTAATCTTCTTAACCAATTTTGCAATTATGCACCTCCCTTACTTGTATAATGATTATTCTCAAAGACTGGTTAGCATTATTTGCCATTGAAGTGTCATGTTCAGTTCAAAATGATCAATCTTATCTTGTAATTATATAGTGATTAATGTGAGAAATTTGGTGTACGTTTCATGTAATCTGACCAAGCCACTCAGGATCTATTTATTTCATCTTATTTGCATGTACAAAATAAGTTCAATTAAAAGAAGTTAAGAAAAACTTTTTTTTTTGGATATCGTCATATATAAGTATGTAGCAATTTCAAACAAATTTAGATTAAATACACGGTAATATACAAGTAATTTTTAGACAAAATAAGTTAAAGTTAACAAAGCCTGAACTAATTTTTAGTTGTTTAATTAATTTCTTTTACTTGCAATATTCTTAAATTACGCTTGTCAATTCATTATTTTAAAAACTAATACTTATGTATTTAGTTTTTAATAAGTAAACATTTAAAATTTGATACGATGAAAGTAGAAATTGAGCCAATTAGGGTCTGTTCTCTTACGTTGAAATTTAGTTCAGTTCAGTTCAGCTCCTAATTTCCTTCTCTTATAAAATATTAATTTCAGTTCAGTTCAGTTCAGCTCAATTCAGTTCAGTTTAGTTCAGTTCAGCTGAGTTCAGTAAATGAGAACATACCCTTAGTTTATCCCACATAATCATCTTTTCATTAACAATAATAAATCATAAAGATCAAAATAGTGTGTATTAATAATGTATTAGTCAAAGTTTAACAAAATATAATGAGAAAAGTATTACATAATACTCCGTATACACTATCTTTCAATAAAAACATACATCAATGCACAACTACCGGGTATTACTCAATACTCATCAATTTCAAAAAATTGATGCATTTACTCATATTTCATAGAATTGAGTGCATAACCTTAAACAATAGTTACAACGGAGAAAATTGTGTTATACAATGTTCTTTCTAGATTAGCCAAACTTAAAAACTAAAAGAACAAGAAAAATTGTTCTTATTAGCCAAACATATGACTATTGAATTGAAGTTGATAT